AGAAATGTTGAGGCGTTGTGCTGCATATGAGCGTTCTCTTCACTGTATGTGTACTCACAATGGAGCCTAAAACATTACTGCCTCCTTTTATTTTCATTGAAAATACGAAACATATCCTCTCTTTTGCTGAATATCAGTTTTAATAATCAATCATGGCAATTATAAAACTATAACGTACAATTAGTTAATTTATTATAGGAAAATAAAGGCAAACAATCAGTCAATATGCAGAATGCACCTGGTTAGATTAATTATTACCTTATCTTTGCGCTCAGCCAAACACGTTACCCGAGAACAAGTAATAGATTCAAAATACCAAAGTCGGGGAATACGTCGATAGACAACAAGATGAATTAAATATCACGTTTAGCAAATATAGTGAGATTAGATCCAGCAGTAGATCCTTGATGAACACTCCGACGAGCACAGCTTTCATTAGGCTAGATAGGCTGCAGCGCATGTCAGAGAGTGTGTGTGTGTGGTCATGTGATGTGCGTTTTCAATGTTTTTGTCGTTTTGTTTTGTTTTAGACTGACAGCTGTTCAGAAACACTGGGTGAAATGCTAATGTGGACGCGGATCGTTTTCATTCTAAAATGCGGTTTTAAAACTAAATCGCACTAGTGTAAATGGGGCCCAACTGTCTGTATTATGTCTGTGTTGCATTGGCATCTCTCTCTCTCTTTCTCCCGCTTTTTCCTTCATCACAGGTCCCACCCTATTCACCTTATTCTCAGCTGTCGAGTGGGCGCTGCCATTTGAATCTTTTTGTCTCGCGACTTCCGGTCACATTCACTTCCATTCATTTTTTGACGTTAACAACTGCTCGTTACGCTGCTTGATGTTGCAATTTAATATTTTCTTATTATATTATTCTACTTGGTCTGTGTAGTCATGCAAACATTTGTTTGTTGAGCAAGTAGTTTGGCCATTTTCTGCCGTTTATTATTCCTAGTCATTTCTCCCATAGGCGACTGAATCGGAAGTTCTAAGACAATCGCGAAAACAGGCGCACTTCCGCATTTTAGAATAAGGTCAATTTACATTGGTAAGATCACCAGGGATTGGCTGGAGTGATGTAGGGCCTCTTTTTAAAAAAGTTGAATAGTCGGGGAAACGCAGAGGGAGTTGGATGGTGTGTTGTTTGAAATTGCTAATTGAAAACTATAATAACTAGCGATACTTGTTGTGGATTGTATATTCTAGTGTTGTGTGTGTAAACTTGGTTTATTATTGTTGTTATCCCTCCAGTGGATTCCACACTTTTCTTTATTGTAAATATTTTCTTGTTTTTATATATCCAGGGTTAATTTTTACAACTAAAATTCCATGATTTTTCCAAGACTTTCAAGTAAAATTTCATGACGTAATGTTTCACACAATGTCTACATATGCGTGCTAAAAGAAAAACAATGCATGTTCAAAGTAACTACAGCATATTGTAAAACATGCAGCATTCTACTTAATTTCAATTTATATTTATATCTATGTAAAATTGATTTAGAAAATGCTTACACCGCACTAATAATGTGAGAGTATATAATTGGCAAAGGACAGAATAAAAGTCAAGATAACTAACCCTAGGTTTCCACTTCATTTATTCTTCCTTGGCGGGGTGCCAAACCAAAATTAATTCCGCCATGACTACAGAACAGCTTCTCAATCAAAACATACAGTCGTTTTTTATTTATTTATTTATTTATTTTTTATAGCGGGTTATAATCGCACCAAATTGTATCAAAAGGTAAGTGATTTATAACAGCGCAAACTTTTCTGTAACCGTAGTAGCACTGTGAATTATTTTTTTAACCCCTTAAGGTGACATGCTGACTAACTGTCTCACAGGTGCGTGATGCGTGAGGCTAGCAAACACGACATAGCTTTCAATTAGGTTGACCTTTGTGGATAAGGAAACGGTGTTGTATGAACTTTACTGAAGACATCCATTAGCCTACATATTTAATTTGGATAAAAGCGTCGCTTTGGATAAAAGCGTCTGCTAAATGACTAAATGTAAATGTAAATGTAATTTAGTTTGCACAAAGATTTGTTTCAAAACTATTTCTCAATTCAGTTCCAATTTCCAGCAAACAAATAAATAAACAATAATAACAAAGAACTGTGATCAAATGAATTATATCCAAACACACTTCCTAATCATATACCCCGTATAGTGATGCAGACGTCTTCAAAAGTTTCTGTCTGTCTGCCTAACTGTCTGTCTATATGTACTGTATGTCTGTCTAACTACGTTTCTGTCTGATTAACAGTCTGTCTTTCTGTTTGTCTATCTGTATCTCTATTTATCTATCTATCATCACCAGGATTTTTAAGAGAATGTATTTAATTTTCTTTTACCTAAATTTGTGGCCTAAAATTGTGAAGCTGTTCAAGAGCTGAGGCAGTTGTATTTCTAATAAAGTTCACTCATAGAGCCCTACTTCACATTTTCTTTCAACCACAAAAGTGCAAATTCTGTGAGATTCCACATGATACGTTAAATTGAGTTTTTATCTCTGTATGGTGTCATTCCATCTATTCTTTCTGCTTCATAAAACTCAAGCGGCCCAAGCATGCATGCATCAAGTTTACACATTAAATCAAGTATTGCAAGTTGTCAGCATCTTGGCCAGTACTACAATTTTAAAAACCACAATATGAATGGATGAGGTTTAATGTACAAACGAGTCTTGTAGCATCTGAGAGATCGAAAGCTTCAAGTTTTTGTCCACTTTTCCAATTGGGTCAAGGACAGATTACAGGCCTCCATCAGAAAACAGGTACCAGTCTCTACAATATGATGAACTCATTCCTCTCCCTATGGATTTAATTCTATTATGGAAATTTCCCTTCGAATCCCGGCACACGCTTTCTCTCTTGTGCGCTCTTTCTGTACGTTCTCCTTGGACGAGCATTAGTTCACCCCTGTCAATCGCTTAACCGGCCCATTTTCCAATAGCTTTTGAGCCGGGCTCCCATGAGAGCTCCGTCCTTTTGACATCTAGTCATGCATTCGGGAAGCATCTGCACTTCAAGCTAAAATGGGCATTTATGTACTGCTCTCACTTTTATCTGTATCTGCAGATGACATCTGAAGTCAAGGAGATCTATGATTAAATAGCATTCAGCCAACATTCTGTCACTATATTTACTCTTCTTCTAGACTCTTCTAATGTATAAAAATTATAATAAAAAAATTGACGATCTTGAGCACTTCTCAGTTCATGTATCTGTCAAGTTCCCTAAGCACAAAGAAGCAATAACTGCAGTCATTACTGTTATGTTTAACAATGTTAAATATAAGTTGTAAATATGTTTACTTTAAGTATTATTATTATTATTATTATTATTATTATTTTAAATTACCTAATTAATTGGTGCAGGGATTACTGTTAATGATACTAACAGTAATTAACATATGCTTTGTTACTGTTGTTGTTATAATTATAAAATATTTTAATTTAATAGACTATATTTCTTGTGAGCATAAGTAAATAATAAACTTTTTTTAATTGACTAGGGTAACAGTAGAGCAAGTTAATTTAGAGCCAGGAGTACTGTTATCGATACTAACCGCAATTAATAAATGATTTTGTAATTGTTAATATTATTAAACATTTTAATTTCCCCTTAATTTCCCAGTGTACTAGTACTGTTTTGCTGTTGGAAAGGCATCTGTTGTGTAAAACACAAGCTGGAAAAGTTGGCATTTCATTCCGCTATGGCGACCCCAGATGAATAAAGGGACTAAGCTGAAGGAAAATGAATGGATGAATGAATTTTTATTTAATTGACGACAATTGTTGTAAGCATTAATAATAAATACATGGTTTATTACTTTATTTTTTATCCATTTAATGTTGTAATATTAATACAAAATTAGTTTGGTGCCTGGACTACTGTTATCGTTAATAACAGAAATAAAACTACTTCTATTACTACTAATATTAATAATAATGATATACTCAAATAGCATTAACAACCACTGATAAACAAATGAACTAATAAACTAACTTACTAACAAACTAACTTAATAACTAAACAACTAACTAGAGCAACTAACAAACACAGAAATGTGGACTAAGATGTGCATACAACTAAAATGAAACTAAACTAGATCTGAGGCACTGTTACTTGCCAAAAAAGAGCTGTATTTTTTGCCAAGTCAGTTTTTTTCTAACATACTATTTAACTCCTGCTTAGTCTTCAAAGTTTTTAGATGGACATTATTTTAAGTTGTAGTTGAATTGGCAACTTTTATTATTTTTATAGTGTTTCTTGGAAGTTGGAGGTTGTTGCTAAAAGGGATACAGCTGCAGCCAGAAGTTAAAAGAATGATCTATTTTAATTATTAAATTACCCATTAATTAGAATTTTATTTATAAGTCCTTAAACCCAACCTTCAAGTAAAGTAAAAATATTAATTGCTGAACAAAGTAATAAAAATTATGCTATACTGATGTGAGTATTCCACTAAAAGTCCAAAGACATGCAATATAGATGAATTGGGTTGCTAAAGCTAAATTGTCTGTAGTGTATGTGTGTGAATGAGTGTGTGTGAGTGTTTCCCAGTGATGGGTTGCTGCTGGAAGGGCATCTGCTGTGGATAACATGTGCTGGATAAGTTGACAGTTCATTCTGCTGTGGTGGTGACCCCAGATTAATAAAGGGACTAAGCAGAAAAGAAAGTGAATGAATGAAATGAATAAATGATGCAAGTATCCACTGCTGTATCCCATGTACAGTAGACTAGTTTCTGTATGAAGTGCAGATAGCCTATGAAAAAGCGTGCCAAAAAACACAAATTTTGTGCTCCATAGAATAAAAAACTGCAAGTTTGGAACGACAAAAGGGGTGAAAAGATGACATTTAATTTTCATTTTTTTATGTTTGTGAGCTATTCCTTGAAGGACAGAGAATGCAGTGAAATGAACCATGAGGGCTTTAAAACAGGCTTTGTTGAACATGAAGAGATTTGGCCAGTATAGTGGATGGGTTTACCTGCCACAGGGCTTTCGAAGGCTGGGATGGTAAAACGTGAGCATCCCGGGGGTCATTACATTCACAGGACACCCTCCGCTATACTGCTCCTTCCCCCAATCCTGAAAACACAACAAAACAATTAACATTTCGCAGCACTCAGTGTGTCAATGTGAACTCCAATTTCAGGCTAATAAAACGATTGGAGAAACGTTTACATTTGTCTTTTATTTCCCTAGAGAGACGGATTTAATATGCAGGTACCTTTAACATTGACACTGACCGAACGTCTCATTGTCTGGCAGACAGTCTTCTTATGTCTCTTCTCGTTCAGTGGGTTATTTTTATATTAATGCAGCTTCACATCATCATAAACTCACCGCAACCTCCTATTTCTAACTTTTAATAAGGTCACTTCAATGAATTCAGCGTGGATTGGACTAAATGTTCCCTTTATGCTTGTTCAGTTCATGTTCAAACTGAATAAAAGGTCCAGAAATTATTTATAATTTAATTAAATGAATGACTATTCATTATTCATAACATTATTCATAGTTAGAGCCCTGCAGGCTTTGCACGAAATACCCTGATGGTTTTAAGTAGACAAGTTTGTAAATGTTGAATGCTCTTAAATGCTCTTGTAGATTTTCTGAAGGTACTTGAAGCAAAAGCTTTAAATAATCCCAGTCAATTAATATGCTTAGCATGTTCATAATGTGTTTTAGGACTTAAATGATAAAAAAATACAGTATTATGACACCTCCTGCGACTCTAATTGCACAGTAGTATGCAATGTTTGCATCATATTTCTATGAAAACAATAGTAACATCATTATTAGCTTGATACAGTCTGCTGAATAATAAAGTGTTGGCACCTCCACACCACAAGGTGTCAACACAAGTTAAAGATAACTGGCCAGCATATTTAAAAATAAATGCTTATCTATATCAATTTAAGAACACCCTGAAGGTGACCTACACTCATCTGCCACTTTATTAGGTACACCTGCCCACGCAGATTTTATTAAGCCAATCACATGGCAGCAAGTCAATACTGCAGTTCAAACCGACCATCAGAATCAGGAAGAAAGGTGATTTACTGTAAGTGACTTGATTAGGTCAGAATTTGTCATCAACAACATGAAAGTATGGATCCATCCTGCCTTGTATCAACAGTTTAGGTTGGTGGTGGTGGTGTAATGGTGTGAGGAATATTTTCTTGGCACACTTGGGCCCATTAGTACCAATTGAGCATCGTGTCAACGCCACAGCCTACCTGAATATTGTTGCTGACCATGTCCATCCTTTTATACCCATAGTGTACACATCTTCTGATGGCTACTTCCAGCAGGATAACGCGCCATGTCATAAACTGTGAATCATCTCAGACTGTTTTTTGGACATGACAATGAGTTCACTGTACTCAAATGGCCTACATAGTCACCAGACTCAATCCAATAGAGCACTTTTGGGATGTGGTGGAACAGAAGATTCACATCATAAATGTACAACCAACTTATTTTCAGCAACTACGTGATGCTATCATGTCAATATGGAACAAAATCTCTGAGGAATTTTTCCAGTATCTTGTTAAATTTATGCCACAAAGGATTAAGGTATTTCCGAAGGCAAAAAGGAGTCCAACCCAGTAATAGTAAGGTGTACCTAATAAAGTGACCAGTGAGTGTTTGTATACCCTGTAGTGTAAAAAAAATAAAAATAAATAAATCAACACTAATCAAATTGCCTGAACTAAGAAACTCAGGGTGCTTTCACACCTGTGAATCGATTCAGTTGTTCCGAAACAGAGATTACAATTGTTACATTGTTGCTCTTTGCTCTTGGAGCAGTTCGCTTTCACACTGCAAAGTTTCTATTTGGACCAAAAGAGCTAAAACAAGTCACGTGCGAGTAAACTCTCCTCACATTGGTCAGAGTGTCAGGGTTTATTTTGCAGCGTCCCGCTCAGCTGTCAGGAGAGGTGGTGGTTTGGTGGTGATTGACAGGGTGCGCGCGCGACGTGTCTGAGTAGAGACGCGGTGGGGAGGGGTGAGAAGGGTGCGCGACGATGCCTATTTGAGGACCGGGAGGGAGACGCAAGATTACCGGGAGATCATCACTTGTTTGCGGGCATCCGGAGACTCGCGAAACTTCCCGCCCTACTCATAATTCTCTCTTCATATAGCCGTAAGCCTATTACATATCCATAAAACACTGTGATATAACCGCGCTCGGATCGGATCGCTTTCTCACTGCAATCGATCCGCTCCAGGGTTCGTTTCAATCGAGCCGAGACCACCTTAGTCAAGCGATCTCGGAGCGATTACTTTGGCGCGGAACAGAACGCGATTGCCCTGTTCACATATGCCAAACGAACCGTGCTAAATGGGCAAACAAGATACGTTCCGAAACAAAAGTGTAGGTGTGAAAGCACCCTCAGAGTAAAACCCATTATTGATGAATAAGAAAAGAAAATCATAAGTATGACAAATTTATGAGGTACTAAGCCATGGTTATGAGATGAATTTTATGAGATAAAATTCATAATTGACAAGACGTAAAAATTGTGAAGTACTGTCATAATTAAAAGATAAAGCTGAAATCATGAGACTGTCATAAATTTGACGCAAAAACAATTAACTTATGGTTCCTTAAGGTTATATTAAATTAGTTGTTTAGACAATATAAAGCAAAAGTTCAAATGATTACACACTATGCAAGAATTAAAAAGTCAAAATGGACAAATTTGAAATGATTAAATACTAATAATTGAGAGAAAAATCTAAATTATGAAAAATAGTAAATCAGAATTATAAAAAAAATTCTATAATGTAATTTAAGAATGCCATTTATTATTACTATGTTTTTGTAGGTTATCATGGAAAGCAAATGTGTATTATAGCTCAGCATTTTGGCATCTCTGCTTTCCGCAATGACCCCATAAACTCAGCACATACAACTTCTCTGGACTCTGAAGGTAATTTTCTAGTTGAAAAGGTAGTGTATTTCCTTCCTGAGCTGCAGTTCACTGGAAAATGGCCTTGCCGTCAGTATTCCCATCATCCTCTCCAGCTCTCTCTGCGATCCTCAATCCAAGCAGTTGCTCAAGGCTATTCTCTCTTTTCACTTTAGAGTGCTAAAGTGGCCTGAGCCCCTTTCGCGCCAAGGCGGAAAAATGTTAACATACTGTTGTAGATGATGGCTGTCAAACCAATGTGGCCGTTTGTCAATCTCAATTAGGCTTTCTGCAAGGTCTATGGTGCCTTTTTACCTCTCAGGGGGAAAGAATTCCCATTTCTATTGTGTGAAATGGTGCATTCAGGCGCAGTGGAGGACCGGTTCTCAGCTTTGGCCAGCGAGGAATAGAAGCGGCCGCAGAGATTTCCATTTGGCTCGATGCCCGTGGCGAGTGTCACATTGAGACTTGTCAAGGAGGTGATGAACTCTAGCAGGTCTTAATAGGTTCATGCCTGATTCTGGACAATGCGTGTTGTTTTCTCATGCTGACTCATTCAGAGAGAACACAGGAGCTTTGACATTTGGATCTGTTCGAAACAATGAGACGATTTCACTGACTGTTTCATCTGTATGGCTTCCAAACTGTTGGACAATGTAGCATTGTGGGAAATCTATAGCCATATATCTTTGACAGGACATATCAGATTAGTTGAATGTGGAACTGTGTTGTTATGAATGTATACTGGTTAGCGTGTAAACAATAGGTCAAATGAAAGGTTAAGTTAAATACTTATACTTGGCAGTCTTATTTTTAAAAAGCACATATGGAAAGTTTCTGCAGCTTTGCCTGAATGACATCTGTAATTTCCAGAAATGAAAACCGGCCGTAAAATAGGTCATGCTGTTGACATTGCCGGAGGTCTAATTTAAAAATGCATGAAAATGTTAAGGTTTTCATCTAAATGAAAGTAATTTGGTAGACCATGTCTTAAAAACATTACTAAACAACACCTTAACAACTGTAGCTCTCAAGGAGAAATTATGGCTGAATTTGTTAAAAGGATATACAGTACCTACTTTATTGCATAATGAGCTGTGGAATATAATATTCTTATAAATCACTGCAGTCTTAATGATTCTGCATTGATGCATAAAATATACACATAAAAATGTAAATAATTAGATCTATCATAAATATGTATGCTTTATTATAAGGTATCCACAGTATTTCTTAATTTTAACATCTATATTGAAACTAGAGCTGAAATATCTGTCTTAAGTGCATGACTACATTTTTGAAAGCTGTGCAATTTTAAAATTGCTTATGTAATTATTAATTGGTTCCACTTTATAAACATATTTTACTGAAAATCACGTCACTAAAAAAAGGCAAATTTCCAGTTCATTCCTGCAACTGTTTGACAAATCTTATTTGCAAAAAATACCAAAATAGGTGGAGTATAAGAAAAAAAATTGCATTTAAAATGTATATAATTTATTTATGTAAATTTCTGTATAATAAATAGTCCTAATAACATAAATGACTACAAAAAACATATTTTTGTTTAGTCAGATACTTTAAAATGCACTAAAAAATGCCACACACACAAAAAAAGGTTTGAGTCTATTTTCTACAATTTCTCCTAAGTGCAACAGCTGCCACAAAATATTTTCTGCATAATTTCTCCATTTCCCTCAAACTGTTTTCCATACACTCCAGGTGCACCACAAAGGAGGCTGCACGAGGAAAAAGCTCCATAAATGCTCCAAAATAAAGCTGAAGCGGAGGGTTTCGCGAGACAATGACTAGAAATTCTGTGACTCAGATAACATATTGGCTGAGATTCACCACACACCTTTTCTGCATAGTGAATGTAGGTGGACGCCTCCGGGCCGAGGTACTTCACCAGGCTGGAGATCACTGCATCTCTTCTCTCCTCCAACTAAAATAAGCACAGAAATATTTCTTTTTCATTTTACAAAAAGAAAATCTATTACAGGATAACATGTGCTGAAGATAAACACATTTCTTGGTTTGGAATATCAAATAAAGACATTAGTAATGGAATCTAATAGATTTCTCTCTGCATTGAAAGTATATTTACCCCAAAATCTGGCCTTTTTTAAATGTTAATAATGAGATCAAAAAATAAGTCCAAATGAATCAACGAGTTAATCCTCATATTATAAAGAGACATGAATTATGATTTTTGAGAAAAAACAATTTAATTAGCTTTTATTCACATGTTTAAACACTGATCAGTGCACAGTGTTTACAGAATTCAGCATAGTTGACAACAAGGTTTATTCTTTCATGTCAAACCATTATGTTTAAGTTTTCACAAGAACCAATGAGGTTTGTTCTCTCATGTCAAGCTGGTATGATGCTTGAAACTGCTGGGATGGAAGCTGAGCTGACAATAGTACATGCAACATCCATATCACAGAGAGGTGCAATAAAGGCAATCGATTTACAGTGTGTGCCAAGTGTTTATCTTGCATACGTAGGTTGTTTATCCAAATTTGTCTGAATTAGATGTGATTAGATCTAAACAATATATTACTTGCTTTTTTTAATATGATTATTAAATTTATAAATAATAATAGCATTTATCTAGGGACATGTTATATAACAAGAAATATCGTTATTACAATACGTAACAACAATATTGCATATTGCAGATTTTCCTAGTATCATGCAGTCTATAAACTTTGGTACACAAAACATAATGTATTCATACCAAACTTGGTGTGCTTTAAGAGAAGAGTGACCAGAACTTTACTGCACAGTTTTGGCACATTGCCACCTAGTGGTCTGGAGATAAGGAAAAAAAATATACTGTAGAAAAAATAGTTTGTTTTGAAATGCGGCCAATAGATCGTCTATCTATACTTTCATTTGCAGTAAAACCTCCAGTTTGCATGAGAAGTATTTTTATTATAAAGTGAAAAAGCTCCTCATGCAAACTGGAGGTTTTACTGAATTTCAGAAAAAAACATTCTCTGTCCACACTACAGCCTAAATGGCTGGCATCAGTATTTGAAGCCTACCTGTCTTGGCTGGGCATCTGTTTCAAAAGTTTGTTTTTCAGTCCTTTTACAATCAAACACCAGTGTTTTCAAACTAAACAGGGTCTTCAGCATTTTCTAAATGAATGTTTCATTGGTTGAAGATCCCAGAATTGTTTGGAACAGATCAGGGAAACAGATCATGTTAACAGAGGAGAGGGATTGGGAAAAATCAGGATCCAGATTCAGCTTATTAAGGCACAAATGAAGCCATGTGTGCTTCCGAATGGCCGTATTTAAATTTCTGTTGTGTTTCGTCTGGTGCAAACAGATAAATTCCCTATTACTGCTTATCTCGTCACAAAGTGTGTTGTTAGGACACTGGGTTACAATGTAACCTGCTTACCTTATGTTTACGATCGTAATATTTATATAATTTGCTAATTAATAACCTCATGTCAAACTCTGAATCTGCATTTCATTTTGGAGTCTGTTACTGTCCACTGGAGGTCGCATTTCGGTCACAGACACATGTTTCGGCAGCCTTCCTGACTGACTGAATAAATGAATGAACTAACAAACAAACGAACGAAAGAATGAATTAAATATTCAGTTTTTAATCAAGGCAACCCTAGGACGCTGAAATATAATTGGCTAAACTGGCAATGGGCAGGTTAAAATTACCAAAACAAAGACAATGTTTCGGCATGGAAAGCACATTTTCAAAGCAGAATATCTGACTTAAGCATTATTTTTCAGATAAACAAGTATGTTCACTTGGCATGTTTCCTAAATATCTGCAAACATATCATGGTTTTTATGCTTTAGATTAGTTAAAAACTTACATACAGCACCTTTAAAACAAACAAAAAACATTAGTGTAAATGGCAGCTATGTCTATAGTTATAATTAGTTGAATCTAATTTGCTAAAAGTTACAAGTGTTGGAGGAGTGGGCTGCAAGGAAAAAATACACACAGTTAAGATAAACTCATGAATTTGAAACATTGAAATCTTTTGTTACACTGCTGTATGTTTGTAAATTGTGTTTTGCATATGTGAATTGCATTTTACAATTAATGTATTTTATGTTGGTTGTGAACAAGAATTGGGGTTTGTAAATATATCCGCTTTGTAAATACTAATTCGGTTTCATGCATGTGAAATTGTTGTATTTTTTCCATGAATTATTATTGGGACTAATCTGACTCCTAAAGCTTTCTGCCCTGCATTTCATGCAACATTTGAGCATAAACAAAAACATTCTCAACCACTTTGCCTCTAGAAGCACATTTGTCAAACAAAACAAAACATCATTAAATATTTAAGAATTATTTAATGAAAAAACTTCCCTGGTCGGTCACCTAACCTAAACAAAACCAATGTTTTACAAATATCTGAACTATCTAGATCAGGGGAGCCCAAACTCAGTCCTGGAGAGCCGGTGTCCTGCAGGGTTTATCTCTATAACTTGCCTCAAAACATCTGCTTGGAAGTTTCTAGTATATCTAAACAGAGATTGATTAGCTGGTTCAGGAGTGTTTAATAGAGGTTAAAGCGAATAACTGAGTTTGGACACCCCTGGTCTAGATCACTAGTTATCAAATAAATAAACAAATTACTATTGAGATAACATATCAATGTGACAGCGGGTAGCACAATCACCTCACAGCAAGGTCAGTGGTTCAAGCCCCAGCTGGGTCAGTTGGCATTTCTGTATGGAGTTTGCATGTTTTCACCGTGCTCGCGTGGGTTTCCTCCGGGTGCTCCAGTTTTCCCCACAGTCCAAAGACATGTGGTATAAGTGAATTGGGTAGGCTAAATTGTCCGTATATGTGTATGAATGAATTTGTATGGATGTTTCTCAATGACAGGTTGCGGCCGGAAGGGCATCCACTGCGCAAAAACACATGTTGGATAAGTTGGCGGTTTTATTCCACTGTGACGACCCCAGAATTAAAAAGGGACTAAGCAGAAAAAAAAAAATGAATGAATAACATATCGAGATGTAAGTGTCAAAGGGGCATACTGTAACTGCATTTAGCATGAACTTTATTTATATATGTTCATTTACTTGCAAATGGCATACAATGTGCATGCAAAAAATATGACTTTTAATCGCACATCAAAATACATAATAATAATAATAATAATAATAATAATAATAATAAATAACCAGCAGTAATGGCAAAAACAGTAATATAAGCCATCTTTTTGACAGCAAGCTAAACTTGACTTCATTTTCTTCACTGTAAGATACAGACTGGTTCTGACTCCTCCACCTCCATCAATCTGAATAACTCCTTTCCTTTTCGGTCTCCGTGAGTTATGGGCAGAAAGGGGCTGGGCCGCGCACCCCTGCTGTTACTATGCCAAGCAGTGACAGATGTTATGGGAGCGAATAAAACCCTGCATCTGCATGTTATGCACACTTCCACTTGAACCGAGTGTCCCGGACCATAATTCAGTGTGCAGTTATGGCTGTGCAGCAGGTATGGGACGGGGCGGCGGAGGAACCATCTGTGGGGGGGTTGTTATAAAAGTGTCCATAAGGATCTAGAGGGCCAGCCACTATCTCTAATGCCTGGCCATAAAACAAACCGCACAAAATTACACTTCATGTCCACACTTCAATCTTTGCCAGCTCATTCATGTGAAGTTAATGCGGAGTAACGGCAGAAAGCACACGCAATGCTGAGTAGTCAGTCAGAGCTCTCTGCACATCTGTATAAAGAAGCTGAGGACATGACTCGTCAGTTTCCCAAGAGCAATCTCAGTTAATGAATGCGAAAGATGGAGATTTCAACAGAAAATACTACAGTAGCAAGCACAAATTAGCATGTTGTATTAGCAGAAGAGAACTAGATTGGCTTGTCCATCTGATTCATTATGAATGACACGACTATCTTCTGAGTGGCTTAGAAGAACTGTTGCCATCTATAATGCATGACTACGGATGGCTTGGGAGAGGTTTGTCATAAGAAACATGCTTATCAGACCAGTTTATCTAAAAGAGGGAATTCTGGTCGTGACTGGTTTGCATAGATTTTAGCTTTAGGCTGGTTATTTTGAGCATGCAGGATGTGTGGCAATCTTTGTTTGACGGAGCGACGAGTAACAGATAAATCAATATTTTGGCATGTTATCAGTCATGAAGAGATCCTTTGAAGAGTCAGAGCTGGAAATATTTGTTCTCCCAAGATAACGCTTGCAGTTTAACGCTGTGGCAAAGACATTAAGGTAATCACTCATCTGATAGCGCTTGTTTGCGTTGACAGTTTGGTTATGGAGAAAATTAATTAGCGTTTTCATTGATCTGCCACAAACACTCGCAGAAAGACTAGCTTAGACTAGCATGAAAGCTACGCTTGTGTCAGTTTCATGATTGGTCTGTTGCTGCTGGATGCTGTAACTAAAATGCAAAAGCAAAAAGCATTTCTCAGTAGCTGTGCAATCTGACAAGAAAGGAGAATATGATGTTAGTGTAGATGTAGTATGTAGAAGACGGGAAATATTATATACTGTCATGATGACAAAGACAAAAATGCTGGGTAATACAGACTAAACCAAATGCTGGGTTAATTTTTTTAATTAAATTTATAGGACCAAATATATCCCAATGTTTGGGTTTGTCCATATTATACCCAATTTTGGTTTAAATAACCCAGGATTTCTCAGAGTGTTGAACCCAGTTATTAAAACTAAATACGAGGGATGTCCATTCAGGCCCGATCACGTGGTTTCAGACCTGATTGGAATCAAGTGTTACCTCCCAATATATGTATATATATAGTCATTATTTTTTTTACACACTTATAGTTATGCAGTGGCACAGAGTTAGACCTCTTGACTTCACACAGAAACAGCAACACGGCATCCCTTGACATCCCATGACATCCCTTTGTTGCATAAATGCTATTGGTTAAATGCGGGCA